TTTCGCTGGGCTTTATGAATGAGATGATCGATGATTACAGGGTAAGTAGAACACTATCACGGAGAGCAGAGTCTGTCCTATTGTGTGGATGAGAATCTTGAGCCATTAGATTACCTGGTGAATATGGGCGATCAGAAAATCGGTAATCTGATTGATACCCGCAAACTGTAGCGTTTTTTAACGTGAGATTTAACTGGCATTGACTAACATCCACAGATGGAGGCTGACAAACTAATGGCAAATTTCAGCATGACTCTTGGAACCTTAACTCAATGCTTCGAAAAAGTTTGCACTACCGTTCCAACTCACAGTCCATCAACTACTCAATACTACTTACCCTCCAATATCATTTACTAATACCATTTCGACCACGACACCTTTACTTGCATGATGTCTGGTAAACGGAAGGAATTCTCAGTTGTGAAGATCCCGATGAAACCACTACCCACTAGCGGCTCTCCACTCTACTGAAAAATAAAAACAATAGTTAACTTAAATAGATGAAGAGATAAATCAAAATAGCTACCTATAGCTATATCAATGGGGTAACTCAATTATAATACTATATTAATCCTCCGATAACCTTGCTATAGCTATCATTAACTACTATTGTAATATCCTCCAATTTTGCAGAAGAAAAATCCTCATCTTTCCTCTCTGCCCAGCTTGAGAGAATACAGGACTCATCAAGCTCTAGGCTCCTCCAGACAACCTCAACCAGCCAGCGCCAGGCTGTCAGGTCCCCATCAAGCTGGATAGACTCTAAAACCACTGTCCGGAGCGTTCTGTGATGACACAGCAGTAAGATTGCGATATCTTCCTTGGTGGAATCGATCAAGCGAAGGTAGACTAGCCATTGCTTGCTGGGGACTTGAGCGATGGAGGATATGTATAGCTAAGGAGGGAGGTTTTAAGTAGCAGGTGAATTGATGCAGCTTTCTGGGGAAGTTTTTGAGAGCCCCACTGCTAGATTATGTATTACGATCCCAGCGTCAGACATCATGTGTATCCCACTTCTTCAACCAACCAACTTCTGACTCGCTCCATACCTTGTGACCCCTACCAGATTCACTCATAGATCCATATTCCTCAGGGGGTAAATGGCTGGGGTACATGTCGTATGTGTGTTGACGCGTTCAGGTCATTTGAATAGCTTAAGTCGAGATTAACCAATGAAAAAAAGCAAGGTCAACCAATAGAATAGCGAGTTCACCACTTTGGCTTGTACTTTGCCTGAAGTACCGTTATTGAGAGCCCTCTGTTGGATGATAGTGGAATGCGGGGTTAATAGGGATTATCAGTCAATGATAATGCAAAATAAGGCGGAAGACTTCACTGCATTTTTAACTACACGCGAAGGGATCAGAAGAATCATCGTTGATTGGGAGAAAATTCGTGGTGGAGACAGCCTGTTATGACGGACCCAATAGGGGCCGAGAGTGGAGCAGGATGACGCCCCTTTTCGGCGCCAAAGAGACAGAGACCGAGTCGAATGGTGAGGCCCAAGAGCAAGATCCGAGACACCGCGCGACGATTGGAAGACACTGCGAAAGAAACGAGAGAAACTACCCGGCAAACGACATGAAATGCGCCGGCCGAATAACAGATCGAACGACCTACCGAAACCCGAAAGAGTAGCGCCAGCGCCAGTGGAAGTAGTGATGGAAGGGCAGTAGTAAGCGATAGTGTAGTAATGTACGGCATTTGAAACGCACTTCCGCCAATCCTCTTGTGACACTGTCGGTCATATATCATAGTGGAGACATGTCAGCACACCATCCGTTACAGGCTTAAGGAAAACTGGGATTGAAGTGGGGTAGGGCAACGGTAATGCCAAATGATGGGAGCTGCTTATTGGCCCGGTTTATCTCCCCGTCGAATTACCCTTGTTCTGCATCGAAGCGAGGTGCGGACTGAGCCAGTCAGATCGATCATCGAACTGGAAGTGTCAGATAAACTGTCAGTCTTGGTTGTTGGTCAATATCCTTGCAACACATCAGTTGAGACGAGAGAGGACAATGTAGTCGTTCGAAAGTTTGATGCGCAAAAATCTCGCTGCGGTATCAAAATCTAGTTGCCTCAATATTGTCTTTGTGACGCATTACTCAAAGACAAGAGAGCCTAATCGACAAAATGGCAGCAAACAACGATGGACCTATCGTGGCACCCGACGAAGGTGTTAGATCCCTTATTTTGTTCAGGTTCCTCGACTGACATCTGATATCAGGTCCAGGACGACCGCGACTCATCAATGGGAGATGTAAGCTCTGTCTCTTGCTGTTATGTAGCGGGGAGAGATTCAGCTAACAAATAGAGGCAGGATGCGACATCATCGGCAGCAAGCTTGAGTAGCTCAATCCTCGACTTTCGTCACGAAAACGGGAGAACATATCATGCATACAAGGATGGAAGTCAGTTACCGTCAACGACTCTTTTTTCGTAGCTCGGAGTCCAATTCTAACCTTATCTACACAAAGAATATCATCTTCCCAACGATGAGCGTGAAGATGACAGACTAGGTATAGTCCCGGTTGCGGTATGGTGGCAACGTTTATACTAGAGAAGTCTAGACTCGCAGCATAATTTATTCCTCCTCACTTTTGATAACAAACTTGGTCTTTCACCTCCAAACCTTCCTGATTCTAAGGTCAAGCGCGTCTTGGACTTGGGAACTGGAACGGGAATATGGGCAATAGAATTTGGTGTCGACCATCCCGAAGCCGAGGTAGGATCAGCTAGCCAATGAACAAAAACTCGAAGCGAGGATTAGAAGCTGATACTTTTAGGTTATCGGCGTCGATCTATCTCCTATCCAGTTCAGTCTGTCAGCTTTGAATAAATACCGTCTCTCTTTATAGATGCTAATGATTAGCTAGCGTTCCCCCCAATGTTCGGTTCCATATTGATGACATTCACGAGCAATGGGAGTTCTCTGAGCCCTTCGACTATATACATAGCAGGATGATGAACTTCAGTATCCCCAATTGGCCAGAGTACTTGAACAAGATCTACAAGTAAGTTTGACCAGTACCTCAGTATTCCCATAGTCTAACAACCTCAGAAACCTCGCTCCTGGGGGCTATGTCGAGATCCAAGAGATCGACGTGATGATGAAGTCTGATGATGTTACGCTTGGCAACGACGATAATCATGAAGTGGAGTAACCTATTGAACGAGGCCTCTGTCAAGCTGCAGCAAGCTTATAAAAAGATTGACGAGTTCAAATACATGATAGCCGAAGCAGGGTTTACCGAAATTGTCGACAAGCGTTCCAAATGGCCGACAAACCACTGGCCAAAGGATAAGAAGTATAAAGAGCTTTAAGTGTGGAATAACGAGAATATTGCCATCGCTCTGGAGTCACTGACCATAGCACCATTTACGAGAGCCCATGGTTGGTCTGTCGAAGAGGTCCATACTTTTCTCTCTAGTGTGTGAAAAGATCTTAACAACCCAAAGATACATGGGTATTGGCCAATGTAAGTGATTATGGTTTATCCACTAGTTATATCGACTAATCAGTCGACAGTTGCTCCGTTTATGGAAGAAAGCCTTTAGTATGAGGGGGTATCCCGTCATAGTATCAGCAATAAGGTTAGGAAACATCAAGGAGGACTAGTGGAATCTTGTTTTCGTAATGGTGGACAGCGAGCTAGTAATTCACGCTTTACTAGCTTTATTACTCATCTGATATATAGTCCTGAGGCTACATTACATAGGCTTAAAAGGTATACTAAATAGCTTGGATTATTAGTACCCCAATTAATAACTATTCTGATAGTAATCTCTTTTGTAATCGCGGTCCCGCTGCTCGCACTTTTCTAGCCACACCAGTGAGGCTGTAGGTTAACGTCACTGATTCTAAACTATATCTCACAGGGACTGCTCAATTAACCCTTTAAAAGCCTAAAATTAGCGTATTGCTTCGCTATCTCGAGTGCGGCAATACGGCAGGGGTTCTTGACTTGAGATCCAAGAATAGGCATATTCGATACTTCTCACTATTTGAGCCGCGATCGATGATCAGTTCGATTCAGACTCAGTCCATAGCAGCAGCAACAAATTCATGGTTTTCCATCCATCCTGGCAAGGCCATGTAGCCAACAGTTGTATTTTGATGAGTGATAGTGTGACTGCTCTTTTCTCAAGAAATGGAAAGGAGATGTGGAGAACACATCTACCCTACGCAAGAGACAGCCACCATACGGGTTAGCATTCGTCATTATTGGTAAGCATAACAGAGTCTCTTATCTTTATCGATGCGTTACGCCCTGTCTACTGCAAGTTGCTTGTCATTCCTTCCTATATATTATCTTCTCGTAAATGATATGCATCTATGCATCCGGTAAGGCTGAGACGATGCCGCTTCAAGTATTAGTTAATCTTTCTGTATATAAGCCACTAAGAACCCAAAGGTAGAAGGCCTTATTAAGGATACTACTAATTCTGAATTATTAGCTATACTAATTAGAAAGCCTCTGAATCATTTTATTTTCATTGGATTCATTAGCAGGCCCAGCGGTCCGAAGTTTGCTTTGTTTGCTGCCATGGAGCTATACGGTAATATCCTAATAATCAAGGAAGCAAGACTTGACGTAGTAGACCATATTAACCCCTACTTTCTGCAGACGAAGATCTATAGCGCCCGAATTTCCTCAGGGTGCAATCCTCTCTGTAGACATTTACGGAGATCTGACGACCCGAATTATGAATGGCATGCACGGACCATCAAGTCGTGTATCCTGATACGCGGGGCTGCGACGCAACAGTCGCACCCACGGACATTCAGCCAGCATTCCCCACTTTCCTCCCTCGCCCCTTCGCGTCTTCTCAGAACTGCTACATTTCTTTGGAGAATGCGTCACGCACAAATGTGATGATCTCCGCCGACCCGAGCTCCCTTTGCTATCGATTCTTTAACGCATCGTCGATGAGGAGATTGCGAGCGAAATTGCGAGCGAAATTTCGGCGGTGGAAACAGCACCGGACCGGCGACAATTCGCCGGAAATTTCTCATCAGCAGGAGACAAGCCTGCCTGGTCCTGCATCGCGTCACGACACAGACCTCCGATCACCCTCTGAAAGCACTCAAGTTCCCTACTTTCCGGACGGAGTTGAAGTTCTACACGACTGCCGCGATGCCACGATCGACATCTGCTTTGTCCACGGCCTAAGTGGCAATCGGGACAGCACCTGGACTGCCAAGGGACAGTCCACACCCTGGCCCGAGGCGTTCCTACCTCTGAAGCTCACCAGCGCTCGCATACTCACGTACGGCTACGACGCGTATATCGTGCGGAAATCGGTCGCATCGACAAATGGGCTGATCGATCATGCCAAAAACCTCTTGAACGACCTGTCGACAGACAGAGCCTGGTCCAATGTGTCCTCTCGGCCGCTAGTCTTCGTTGCTCACAGCCTGGGCGGCCTCGTCTGCAAGGAAGCCGTTCTGCTCTCCCGAAACAACCCCGAATCACATCTTCGGGGCATATTTGACTGCACCAAGGGCATCGTATTCCTGGGCACGCCTCACAGAGGATCGTGGATGGCCGACTGGGCCAGGATACCGGCTTCGGCCCTCGGGATCGTCAAGTCCACCAACAAGTCGTTATTAAAGATCTTGGAGACAGACGACAAGTACCTCCAGTCCGTTCAAGATCGGTTCTGGTCTATGGTACGCGAACAGCAGAAGGCCGGCCGGGATCTTGAGGTTACGTGCTTCTTTGAAGAACTACCCTTGTCTGGGATCGGAAAAGTCGTCTCCAAGGACTCAGCTACACTTGAGAGTTACAACGCGATCAGCATCCACGCCAACCATAGCAACATGGTCAAGTTCAGCTCCGCGGACGATAATGGCTTTAAAAGGCTACTCGGCGAGCTGATTAGATGGGAATCGCAAATTAGGAACTCAGCTATCAGGCAATCCAGGCGACCGATAGAAGAGGCCCAGATGACCAATTTGCCCTTCAATAATTTTGGCCCCGGCGACCAACTCAACGCTCCTGGCGGTACTCAGAACGTCAGCAAAGGCAGTGGCAACCACTTCCCCGGGGCTACTTTCTCTGGACCAGTGCAATTCGGCAAGGAAGGCTCTCAAGAGGGTGTATCTGAAGATGACTAGGCAAAGTCAATCTAGGAGACTACGAACGCGACCCGAGGCATATGTGGAACATGCATGTCACATTGTCTTGTAATTAATCATTGTTTGATTCATTTTCAAACCTGGCGCTATCGAGGAACTGACTGTCCTGAAGCCAATGCATGACACGCCGAACCTGTCTTCCACCTTATAGTACTATGAGGCGATAATAATGAAATACTTCTCAAATCAGATTGTTATTAAAACGTCACTGGTCCAGAGAAAGTAGCCCCGGGGAAGTGGTTGCCACTGCCTTTGCTGATGTTCACGGTACCGCCAGGAGCGTTGAGTTGGTCGCCGGAGCCATACTGAGCAAAAGTGCCGCTCGACCTCACGTCGGGCACGGACGCCTCCATCTTTGACAGCTTCTCAATAGCACCGCGCAACGCGTTGATTTGGTCTTCCATTCCGGCTCTGATCGCACCGTTCGCAGCTAAGGCACATACGTAATTCATCATTCCCATCATCAAGACCTCTACGGGCCTTCCCTTGCCCTCTTGTCTCACAACCTCTTTGTAACGGTCGAGCCTCGAAGTTTCCGGTGATTCGGCGACGGCGTTGAAAATGTTCTTGGACAGCTCTGCGTTGGCATTGCATTCCTTCAGCGAGTCCATGGCGTTTTGGGGATCTCCGGCTAGGTCGCGTCCACCCAATTTTGTTTTAGCAATTTGGAGAGCCTTCCCAACAAGGAGCAGCCCTCGACCCGATTCATGAAAAGGCTCACAGAGAGCCTTGTCATCTTTGACAACATTGTAGTAATCCGTGGCGGCCTTGAGGGTGGTAATCGTGCTCGAGATTAGGGCAGTGACCGTGGTTGCCATCCTTGAACGAAAGGCGAGATCCTGGTCACTGATAAATGCCTCAATGCCGCTGATTGGAGGCCCAAACTAGCTTTAAATATGAGAAGGCGTTTTCACGGAATATATCAGAACTGATGTGATTAGCAAAGGAAAAGACAGACCGTTTACAGAGCGTTGAACAATAAAGACATCTCGCTGTCACCCTCTCTATAGGAAGGTGTGAGCGCCCTGCAGGATCGCGTATGGGCATTTCAAGTTAGATTCTCATTTGCGAGGTGGGTGCCGCCTGGTCCACTTCCTGAGAATCGCGTTTGATCATTTGCGAGATGTGTGATGTGGCTTGCAGGTTCGTAGCGCCGAACGGATTCAGGACATGCCCGATGCTCGACAATGGTAGCTGATTGGCGTGAAACGAGAATAAAGCAAGCCAGGCCAATGGCTGAAACGTCTAAGCGGGGACAGTAAAGGAGCGGCGTGCTGCACTATACCTCTTCTCCTTGCCTGCGCCCCACTCTGAGGCCAGGGGCACTTCCACGCTTCTCAAGGCTGTTCAACTCTTACATGCTTCGCGCATAAATCTTCTCGAGACGACCTAACTCTCGTTTTTATTCGTTCTGATAGTGACTTTATATTTCCACGAACCCCTATTAGCAACAGCTGGCTACCCCTAGCCTTCCACAGATCCGCGGTGACGGCCAACGAATGACTCGACAAGCTGACTTGTCTTTGCCGTTTTCTAGGTGACTTTGCATCTGGACACGTATCGGCGTCTTTCCCAGCAGAGACGACGAGATTTTGTATTCCGTTTCTCGCCCTACGTCTCCTTTAGCCGGTGCTATAGACCCTAGTAAGCTTTCGATCAGATCATAGGCCTAGTACGCCTCCACTCAATTTTACGTCTTGGCCTTCTTCAATTGATATAACGTGCCTTGGACAATGGGGAGAGCCAGACGGCCTCGGGTTGATGGGTCACAAGAGGAGACAGAAGAACATGGGCCGTCTTCTCAGGGTTCGTCCTTTAATAACCACAGCTTTGCGAACCAATTGAATGCTCCAGACGGTACTATCAATAACAGTACAGGCCCTGGCAACCACTTCACTGGGTCTACCTTCCATGGACCTACATATTTTGGTAAGATAGCCGTCTTTATCGACAGTATAGAGATTTTTAACTTATTATATTATATAGGCACACAGGAACACTCTGATCCGTTACGAGAATGCTTAAGATCCCTGTCTTTTCCAGAAATGAACAGTCGGTCCCTCGATATTGATGCTGCTGCTGAGGGAACATGTGACTGGCTGCTTCGGCACCAAAAATTCACAAGCTGGGCCTCCTGTGATCGAGGGCTCGTCTGGATCAAAGGGAAGCCCGGCTCTGGGAAATCGACGTTGCTGCGATACCTTCTGGACCATATCATAACCATACCTAACACCGGAAAGGAAAAATTAATCCTCTCATTCTTCTTCCACGGTCGTGGCACTGAACTCCAGAAGACGCCACTGGGTCTCTTCCGATCGCTTCTCCACCAGCTCTTGCTCCAGGCCCCTGAGACCCTGACAGACCTTATGAACATATTCCAACAACGGTGCAAAATGGCTGGCAAGCCGGGTGAAAAGTGGCAGTGGCATCCGCGCGAGCTGCCACGACTCTTCGAATCATCGCTCTCCAAAGTCTTGCGGACTCGTCCAGTTTGGTTATTTGTTGACGCGTTAGACGAATGTGGCCAAAGGAATGCAGTTAAGCTGGTCCGGGACTTCAAGTCTCTGCTACAGGGACTAGCCTCTACTGATTCACAGTTTCACATCTGCTTCACTTGCCGCCACTACCCGATTCTAGGCCAGACTTGTCAGTTCGAAATATGCCTGGAGGAGGAGAACAGACAGGATATTTCGACCTACGTGCGAGCGCAGCTTTCTCTATCCCGTGAGCTAACAGCATCTACAATCCCGGATTTAATTACAAAACATGCCCAGGGTGTTTTCATATGGGCATATCTCGTGGTAGATCGAATCCTGGGCCTTAATAATGAAGGAGAAGGATTGAAAAGGATTGAAAAGGAGATCTATTCCATCCCTCCGGAGCTAGATGACCTCTACAACGAACTCATCCGAAATATGGACGAGAGACCAGCTTCTCTCAAACTGATTCAGTGGATCTGCTTTTCTGTGCGACCCTTGTCACTAGACGAATTGCGATGGGCCATGATAATCGATGCCGATTGCCCTAGCAAGTCATTACAGGAATGCAAGAACATGGAAGATCATATATCAGACAGTGACAGAATGAACAGGCGAGTTCAAACGCTCAGCTGTGGCCTCGTCGAGGTGACATCAGATGCGAAAGTTGTACAGTTCATCCACCAGTCCGTCAAGGATTTTTTTCACCGAGAAAGGCCTTTCGGCTATGAGTGAGACCACCAACCGCAGTATTATAGTTGGAACTGCACACCATCGGCTTTCTAGGACCTGTATACGCTACCTGGCGATGGAGGAAGTCGCTCGTTCGGTAGGTCAAAAGCCTGATCACTTGAAATCTGAGTTTCCTTTCCTGCATTACGCCACGACCTCGTGGGTGGCGCACATAAAGCAAAGCGATGCCAGAAGTGTCCCTCAAGAGGATCTTTTGCAATATTTTACAGGGCCATCAAACACTCTTATGGAACGATGGGTGTGTATCTATAGATTATTGAAAAGATATTTTGATGACTGTCTGCCAGAAGGGACCAGTCTAGTGCACGTCATGTCGAGGTATGGAGTGGTAGGAGCGTTAGGGGTCATTTTGGGAAGGGCAGACCAAGTTGGTATTGATATCGATGGCGAGGATTCGGATGGCCGGACGCCGCTATGGTGGGCAGCTGAGAGAGGGCACGAGGCCGTCGTGCAGCTGCTTCTTGAATGGAGCGCCTATACTGAGGCGGCGGACAAGGACGGCCGGACGCCGCTGCTATGCGCCGTCGTGCAAGGACATGAGACCGTCGTACGGCTGCTCCTTGACCAGGGCGCTAATACTAATGCAGTAGATAAGGACGGCCGGACGCCGCTATGGTGGGCCTCCTTGGAAGGGCATGAGATCATTGTGCGACTGCTCCTTGACCAGAGCGCTGATATTAATGCGGCAGACAATTGGGGCCGGACGCCGCTATTTAAGGCCGCCTTGAAAGGGCATGCGGCCATTATGCGGCTGCTCCTTGACCAGAAGGCTGATCCTGATGCAGCGGGTAAGGAGGGCCAGACGCCGCTATGGTTGGCCGCCGAGAGAGGGCATAAAGATATTGTGCGGTTGCTTATTGAACGGAATGCCTTTATCGAGGCAGCAGATAAGGACGGCCGGACGCCGCTATGGTGGGCCTCCTTGGAAGGGCATGAGGCTATTGTGCGGCTGCTCCTTGACTGGGGCGCAGACACTGAGGCGGCAGATAAAGATGGCCAGACGCCGCTACGATTAGCTGCCGACAGGGGACATGAGGCTACTGTGCAGCTGCTCCTTGATCAGGGCGCTGATACTGATGCGGCGGGCAAGAACGGTCAGACGCCGCTATGGTTGGCCGCTTTGAAAGGACATAAGGATATTGTGCGGTTGCTTATTGAACGGAACGCCTCTGTTGAGGCGGCGGATAGGTGGTGGGGCCGGACGCCGCTGCTATGCGCCGTCGCGCAAGGACATGAGGCCGTCGTGCGGCTGCTCCTTGACCAGGGCGCCTATACTGAGGCGGCAGATAAGGGCGGCCGAACACCGCTATGGTGGGCAGTTGAGAGAGGGCACGAGGTCGTCGTGCGGCTGCTCCTCGATCGGGGCGCCCATACTGAAGTGGCGGATAAGTGGGAGCGGCGGACGCCGTTGTGGAGGACCGCTGAGAATGGGGATGATGCTATTATGCGGCTGCTACTTGATCGGGGTGCTGATACTGAGTCGGCGGACAAGGACGGCCGGACACCGCTGTTGATGGCCGCTGCGTGGGGACACGAGGCTACCGTGCAGCTGCTCCTTGACTGGGGCGCTGATACCGATGCAGCAGATAAGGACGGCCGAACGCCACTATGGTGGGCCACCTTGAAAGGGCATAAGACCATCGTGGGGCTGCTCATCGACTGGGATGCCTCTGTTACGGCAGTGGATAAGAACGGCCGAACGCCACTATCAACAGCCGCCTTAAAAGGGCACAAGGACATTGTACAGCTGCTCCTTAACCGGAGCGCCTCTAGGGAAGCGGCGGATAAAGATGGCCGGACGCCGCTACGGTTGGCCGCCGAAAGAGGGCACGAGGCCGTCGTGCGGCTGCTCCTTGAATGGGGCGCCTATACTGAGGCGGCGGACAAGGACGGCCGGACGCCGCTATTAACGGCCGCTGCGTGGGGACACGAGGTTACTGTGCGGCTGCTCCTTACCCGAGATGCCTCTATCGAGGCGGCAGACAAATGGGGCCAGACGCCACTATCGTGGGCCGCTAAGAGAGGGCACGATGCCGTCGTGCGGCTGCTCCTAGAACGGGGCACCTGTACTGAGGCCTAGGGCCCTCGTGCGTGTCTCCATCACCCGCAGCTCCGGATACTCCGCATCTTTCCGCCGTCCTTCATTGGAGTAACCGTCACTCAAAGTTCTGAGAACGAAACTCCCAAAATTTCTTGCCTCTATATTGCTTGCTAAAATTTCGTCGACGTCTGGAAAGTGTTCCTCCAGCCTTCGACGGAATTCAACCCGATCTGGTTCCAGTTCGAGACGCTTCCATGCGGCCACTAAGACCACTAAGTACCACCAGTGCCATTGCTGCTCTTGCCTCTGACCTAAACTGTATATGTGCCCGCTTCGCTTTGCCCGCCACCGAACCAGGTTATGCATCGTGACACAAGCCCCGTCACTGGACACGCGCTGGAGCAGATCATGGCGAGCCAGCACATCGCGGCTCATCCGGTAATAAAAGTCGCTCTATTTGCCTTCTTCTGCCATGAAGAATTGCCGAATTTCAGCAGGTATCTCGTTGGTGAGGTTCCTGTTGATACTTGCGATGCCAAGGGCGGCGAGGCAAAATATCTCATCTTGAATGATGGCTCCCCTAAATTGCGCAAGAGACGTCAAGAGTAGATCAGGCTGCTGTCCGTTCTCTTCCGTGATCTCTTGAATAGTAGCATCCCATACTGTCCAAGCCGTCTTCTCGGTTGGTAGTAGTCCCTTTAAATCATTCATTCGAAGTAATTCATCGCGATGCATATCGTAGTCTGTCAGATACCGGTTCAAGGCCTGCTCCGGATCTGGGCTATTTCCAATGTACGCCCCAGCCAGATCAATGGCAAGAGACAGATAATCGAGTTTCATCGCCACTTCGCCGCATTCTCTCAGAACCTTTTCGGAAGGCGCGTTTCCGTCGTGCAAGACATGTCGAAGAATGAGCTCTTGTGATTCTTGCGGCGACATATTACCAACTTGAATCTGTGGGCAGTCTCGCGAAACCAACGTTCTGCTTCGCTCATCCCGGCTGGTCACGATAATGGTACCCCGTTCTCCTTTGGGCATTGACTTCTTGACTCCCCATGACAAGTCATCGGCGTTGTCGACTGCGACTAGCCACTCATCCTCTAACCGGGATCTATTACGATGCCAACGAAGGCCTGCTCGGGTAACCCTGAGTCCCTGTCTACCTAAAGTGCCTGCCGTTTCTAGCATAACCCATTTGTACTGCCCTAATCATCATGCCACTCCACATTAAGTTACACTGTCATAACTCAAGTAACTTGGCTACCTTATTGATGAAGTTGGCCTTCAAATTTCCTTTCATCAACAGAACGGTACAATTGATTACCGTCTTAAACTCTGTTAAGAAGTTTCTTTTCAACTTTTCTTTTGCCATATTTATTCTTTCAATAATAAATAGTAATACACCTCTGCTTGGATTACACTCTGTCATTTTTTATTTTATTCCTTAGAATATTTGCCCGACAAAACCATGGTAGCCCTCGATTTGATGAATTTTTAGGATTCGTCGCTTTTGTCCTTTCCCCACGCCCTCATGGCCATTAACCCTGCTGACTGCCTACACTCTCTGATCTTTCTCTCATTTTCTTTTTTAACCAATCGTTCTCTGTACCTCAGTCGCTCTTGTTCAGACAGGATCTGCAAAAGCTCCAATCTTTCATATTCTTGTACTTTCTGTTACTGATCGCGTAAATCGCGAATCGTCATTTCGATATCCATACAAATTCTCTTTATGTAGTCACTGTACTCTTTGGTCTGCAAGACCTCGGTCAGTTTGGCTGCATTATCCAGAAATTTCGCCGTCTTGTACCAGTCGATGGGAATGCGCTTGACTGTCGTATCTTCAATACCGACCACTGACTCTAGGAGCTCTCTGCTGCGCTCTGTGTTGAGGGCAAACTGTGTAATTGTGAGATGGTCTATCCAAGTATGAAACGGTACTGCTTCGGCGCAGCTCCACCTAGTCTTATATAGTAATGCTGGCAAACGTTTCTCTGTATAAATAAAATATGCCCTTTTAAAGACCCCCTGTAGCTGGACTACTAAGTTATACTGACTATCGAATGGCAGGTAAATTAGGTCTTTCTTCTCTTGCACGTGCTCTTCTTCCCTCGCTTCCTCTATTATGCAGGGTTAGTGGCTGCACTGCAGCCTTGTCAGTTATAAATCTGAGCCACATACCCTCGGAAGATTCTGTATCATCAGCTGGAACCTTGCATACTTCCACTAGGTCTGTTTCCTTCATGGTGGAAGTCTCCACCCCAGGACCTCCAGGCTTATCGCTGGCCGAGTTTTCTCCATCATCATGGCGAGGTCTCTCCATATCCGGCCCACGTATATATTCCTCTTCTATTGCCTCAGGCTTTGTATTCTTTATTCCTTGGGCCTCTTATGCTCCAACCTCAGGATCCCAAGGGGATTTATATGGTGGTGCCTCTTCTGTAACCAACTTCCGTTCTACATCCCAAACTACCTCTTCTTCGGCAGCATTTTCAGGCTCTGCAGCAGGTGGGGAATTCTTTAAATTAGAAGACAAAAAAGACCGCAGCCCCGGTGAAGCGTTGTTTACTAGCACGCACCACGTTACAATCATACTTGGCGAATAGGTCATGGATGTCTTCCCTACACGGAAGACTGTTACTGGCATCCATGATAGATCCCTTATCATTAGTCGTATGGGCTTTTTTTACGTTTGGCCATCCTCTTGCACTCCAAAAGTCGTAGATGCTCGACGTCGTCTTTCAATATCGAGTAGATGGCTTTATCGGGGGGTGTAAACTGGTTGCACAAGTCACATTTCGTGTTGGTTAAGGTACTGTCGAGATTGACCCTTTTCATGGTCCAAGGGACGCGTGCTTCGCGTGGCGCGGCCATGGCGTTAGTGCATCGAGGAAGTCTTTACGGATATGACGAAAATAGAGTTGAAAGATGTCTAAGAAAGGTGATTGAACTGGTAACAACTTTTATGTTGGCAGTGTTGAGATGTGGGGCTCTTGAGACATTCGGCTAAGTTGCCTCATCATCACGTCATACCCGCGCGTCATATGATGTCGAAAAAAAGTGAACAGTAACATCCAATAAGAAATTCTGCCGGCTATAAAATCCACCGCCTGCTGCAATGGGCAACGCTGACGATAACGGCGCGGTTCATCATTGATCCGAAACATTTCCGAAGTCGCTGCGCTTTTCTGCGATCACAACATGATGTATTGAAACAAAGAAAACTCAACATCATTACCCAAAGTGCTTAACGCCATGGTGCCGCCCGCTCAACCACTTCATCGCCATCAAAAGTCTCTAGAGGGTATCATAGACTTCTCATCGCGCGAACCCTTGTCTGAGTCTCATCGCGCCTCCGCTATTCGTCGGTTTTATCAAGTCATCAAGCATTTTAATGGTAATGACATTAAACGAGGTCAAGACCAATACGATAAAGTGAAGCTTGTTCGCTTCACTTACGAATATTCTACCAGCCAAGTGTCTAAAGATAATGTTTTGATCGCTGTTTTTGAGTTTTTGAAACTATCAATTACATCTGAAGAGGATATCGACTTTGAAGATGCCACGTACCGAAGCGAACTGAAGACCCACCTGTATGAATTCGCCGACTATCTGGTCGACAACTTCTTTCTCCCGCGTATGGCTCCACTTTAAACCGGCGTCTTGTATCACTAACACTTCAGCAGTCAAAGCATCCACCAAAAAGACACCACAACCAACACCAGCATCTCACTCAGCTGTCATAAAAACCCAACGCCAGGGCCATGTCTTTTCTGGGACGCCAGAGCGTCTAGCCAGCCTCAGAGGTGCCTGCCTCATACGAGATCGGTATCGCTGTGTTATTTCACGCAAGTTCGACAGAGCTGAAGCTCTTAAGCGCTTCCAGCAACAAGGCGGAAGCAAGGCTGTTGATCAAGACGGTGTTCCCTTGGCTGATCCTGGGCAAAGGTTCGACTATCTGGAGGTCGCACACATACTTCCACACTCTCTCACTCAGCTCAACTCTTCTAAAGAGCTGGTAAGAATTCTGAACCCCACATCTTGCTCCCGCTGACTCTGCAATAGAACTCTTCAAAAGTTGCGGCACTGGCGATACTCAATATGTTTGACAGTGGTATTGCCCACTTGATCGAGGGAATCGACATTGATCGTCCGTGTAATGCTCTGACACTGACTCTAAGTCATCACGTGTCCTTTGGTGACTTTCGCGTCTACTTTGAGCCTGTCGGAGATACACCGCATACATATCGTATAGGCACATTTCTACCGCCTGGTCTTGCAGAAGATGTCCCCGTTACTCGAACGTTTTTCCTTACTGAGGACAAGAACATTGATCCACCGTCGTCTCGATTCCTTGCCGTTCACCGTGCTATCGCGCATATCCTGCACCTTTCTGCCGCGGGCGACTACATCGATGACATGCTGAGCGATGTTGAGGGATTTGGCATTCGTTCAGATGGGTCTACTGACCTGTCTCGACTACTGAAATTGAGATTTGATGATTGGGCAGTTGGAGAGGTCCACGGATGAATGTGTGTGCCTAAAGCGTTTTGATGTTCAACGATAATTTTCGATCAGATAGGGGCGTTATATAGATACCTGGCTGTTGACAATGAGCTAGACCTCGATTTACGATTTTGTAGAAGCAAGAATGTTTATATGACTAACTAATACATAGTTGCTGTCTGGGTAATGAATGTGATCCCTACTGTGTTGAACCTTACCCCAAGCGGATCATCTGTTCCGCGATTCAGCGTTATCTTATGTCAGCTATGCGCTACTCCAAAGTCTTTGACTAACTGTAAAGTTGTTGCTTAGCACTGGGAAATGAACTCTAAATTACACGAGTAAAACGCGTGCCCGCGCCGCGCGGTCAGTTGTGGGCTAACGTTAAAAAGACACTGACTCCAAACTTCAATTCATATTTATACATACGTGTACGTCATGCATTAGGGTGATGCAGGAAAAAAAGTAGTTGATTTGGTGCTAAGGAGTCGACATGACTTATCGATAAGCAATTTATCGGAATATCGGAGGCCGGCGCTAATACTTAGCCCCTTCAAGGGGCTCTAGCATGGCCTCAGCGGTTCTTAATCTTCTTCTTCACATCTCCCATTTGAATTTTCCTAATTTTGACACACTACATTCTCTCACTCTTTAAAATAAGAACGGAAACACGACGAAGTGCCATGAATCAAACGATTTCCTTTAGCCATACACCAGGACACGTACCTGTCAGGAAGCGGATACCTTTAGGGGTTGAGGACGAGGCACGGACGTCCAAACAACAGAGAGCCGTCTCGACAAAAAAGAGGATCGCGATATCTTCTCGCAAGACATCAAAGACCAACGAGAACGCTCACAGCACGGGTTTCTCATTAGACAGAGTTCCTGAACAAATCATACAACTTATTGCAGAAAATGTAAGTACTTACCCTAATCGACTCTCCGGTGACGCTTACGATAGCCCAGATTGAGGACAGACGAAGTATGGCTGAAATGGCCTGCACTTCCAAGCGCTACTACTCCCTCTTATCGCCGATCCTGCACAAGCTTATCTTCGTCTCTGCAACCCACTGGTTGCACACTCACATTGTCGTCCGCCGCCTTGTGCTTTATTTGAGCTACGCTCAAATAAAGCAAATTATGAAAGAACCCCCATACATATTTCCGAACAGCCTTGACCTCAAGGCCCTTCCGCCATGTGCCAATAATGTCCGCCAGATGATTGTTGGGTCCATCGATCCAGGTCAGAAAAGGCGAGTCATTATTATGAGGTATTTGGAAGAGGTCATGAAGAACTTGCATAATTTGAAAGTCTTCGAGGGGCATGACTTCACCGCATCCATGTCGAGGAGCATCGCGGCGCAGCAAAATCTCAAAGCTTTATACGTATCTTTCAGCAAGATCCTTGGTTTCGAAAACGATGTCTTGATTCCGTTCACTAAAATCCGTAATCTCCAACATCTTCATGTCACAGGGTCCTACGGATTCAACGGCGAAAAAGTCCTCTCCAAAATGCTTCTCAACTCTTTAACAACCCTTGAGAGTCTAGAAATCACAGCCAAGTGGTACTGGTCTGGATTCATGGATAACTGGGAAGAAGATATTAAAGCCCTCAACCCCAAGACCTGGGAACAGATACCCCATTTCACTTCTCTAAAATCATTGTCTTTGTCACTCATAACTTTTAACAGGGAACTTAGACAAAATCTTGTTCGAGCCGTTGACTTTTTGAAGCTCGAAGAGTTGCAAGTTAACCATTTCGGAGATAAATACAGGGATGTTACCAAGGAGCACCTGGATGGACCCCTCAAGTTCTTTCAATCTCTCGAGCATCTATTCAAGAAGACCGAAAAGGGAAATATCCATTTACGACATCTTTCACTACAGATAAGTGGATTCTATCGCGAACAGAGGAAGGTGATAGAAGAGGGCCTACAGGGTATATACAGGTTCATCTCTTCGTTTGATACATTGATCCACTTGGAAATTCATGACTACAACACGTATCGGAGCGTTGAGGAGTTGAATCCTGGACTATTATCGCCGCTGCGGCTGTCTATCTTGAAGCACAGAGATTTAGAAACACTCCGTTTCCACTACAAAGACGTCCTCAGCGGTCACGAAGTTCCTTGTTTCACAGCTGCTTCAGTCAAGATACTTGTCGATAATCTACCTAAGCTACGTGTCTTAGAATTTGCACCCTCAGGGGACAACAAGGTGAGTGGAGACTCTTCCCTTCTTGCCATTGACATACTGAAACGCCACAGGATGAAATGCTTCAAGCTCTCTCGAGGGCAAAGAACTTGGCTACTCTCATCTTCAATGACGAACAAACTCTATATCCTAGATCAGACTTCCCCGAGGACTACCATGCTATGGTTGTAAAGAGTGTCATCGAAGGATTTATGGAGCATGCTTCTTGTTGGGAATTTATCTGGGAGAAGCATTATAAGCTGAGCGAATTCCGAATAGGTTCAGATGCATATGCCATCGCGTCAAATTTGAAGCGCAGGAAAGGCTACTTTAAGATTGGCCCTATGAAGGTTGCGAAAGGAGATTGCGAAGTGAAGTTCCAGGATCTTCGTAGAGGCGAACAGCCCTTGCGGGACCGTTCTTATTATGTTCCCGAGGAGGAATGGATGAACAAAGTGACGAACCCAGGCCGGCGAGCACAATTTTGTTAATGGTGCCAGCGTTGTAAGATAGTTAGGATATCTTTCAGACTTGATAAAAGGGGGCGACCCTTCGAATAATGCATTTTGAGACAAGATACTTTTGCAGATATCCTTGGCATGTTACTCAAGCATTATTATCAGAAACGCACTGTGTTTCCTGTTTTTGATCAATCATCGTCCAGGATCTTCAATTCATGTTTCTGCTCTGGCATTCTAGCCAGTAGCAGGACCCGTTACGGGGTTTACGCGTTCGCAGAGGGAACAAATGTGCAGTCCAGTAAAAGATGGGTGTAAGCTTTCCTTAATTGTGCAAGCCCTGGATCGTCTTTTCGACTGACGTAAAGAAGAAGATAGCGAAAAGGCCAGCCAATCTTCTTCTGAATCAAAAGGACGACGCGTTGCAGCTATTGATTGGAAGTTCACATATGTCGCAGACATGCAATTCACCCTTGATCCACATTGGTGGCTCCTTCTAGAGGTACTTGAGATGTGGTCTTCTGAAACTGACGACTGGGCCGATACTTACTATATCCGACTTCAAACTTGGCTACTGGGGATGGAAGAGGTTGAAGGCATGGCGGCTAGCTCTATGCCCTTTAAACCATCCACTTATATACATGAGAGCTGGGTAAGTAGGCGATTCTGGCTCGACTATGCCTGAAGAAACAGTTGGGCCTTTTATTCAATCTTTTGGAAGTATTTGGGCGAGAGGTTCTTTGGGCCCCGAGACACATGTCCCACAGGATAAGCTATAGACAACAAGGATCGATCTTCTAGAGAATGGAGGAATAGAAACTATAGATCCGTTGGTGCAAAGAAAGATGAATGAGATAAAGGAGCGGGGCCTAGTAGACTGGGATACAATCGAGGCAAAGAAACTTAACGACGTCCTAGGGGACAATAGCAGTTTTGAAAATAAGTAAAAAAGATTCTCGCTAACCTTATATAGCGGTATGAAGGGCAGAAACTACTATATACAAAAACCTCACATAGCACCTACTCTTCTGTTCGTAATTGCCGCCTACCCTTAGTTGTTTCTCACGTGTTTCTTTATCTCCCGCCTGGTCCTATATGACCGTAGTACGGTGAAATACGATTTCTCTCTTCGGTCGACAGTCTGCGGGCGCATCGCTCACATGTGCATACCCGTAAACGCATACTTCAGCCGTTTCTTTTTTCAAATCGTCTATTCTCATTGGTGTAATTTCTACTCGAGGTTTCCTCATCGATCATTGCGCCTATCATTGCGCCACCAAGGCGTAGACGAAGGGGAGATAGAAGATGCTATAAGGTGCCCTTATGTTTCTCAATCGTTTCGAACACCTCACCAACACCTCGCCAACACCTGAATTTGCTTGCTAGACACATTGTCCTCTTTCCATGGCATTCCTTTGTCTTCTCTAGCCGCGATGCCCCTATCGGATCATCCTTTCCCAGCCAGTTGCCCTCGCTATGCGTCGTAAACGATCCCGCCGTTCAGAGGCATTGGGTTTGAGGAACCTATTAGTTTGACGCGGGAAACGATTGATACTATCCCTCTTGATCACCAGGACCGGACTAAATGGATGGATAACCTTGAGGGTTTCCTATTCAACAGATTCTCTGAGACGATGGCGGATCTTGACGAAGCCAAGGGTTGCTTTTTCACTGCCTTCTATCGCCACGTCTCAGTTGTGAGCGTCCATACTGCTGCTGGCCGTTATCTTATATGTATCCAAGACATTTTTCAAGGTCAACAAGCATTTGCCTTTGCCAAAACAATAGCCGAATGAAATGCTTATGAACCACCCATTCTCTGCAGAACGTAGGTAGGACGTATCTCTCCTCTGCTATTGTTGGATTGTCATCCAGTGCAGCAGCCATCGCTTCTCATTACAACAGAGGCCGTGTTGCTGCTATTGAACTCCTTGAGACTGGTCGTAGTGTTATCGCAGGGGCTTTCTTAGAGCAGTGTAGTTTTGCCGCTCTTGGACGCGCGCATACCGCCCTCGCCCGTTCATTCATCGACCTACGAGATGAACTACACGCGCCGTCCCCAGCAAGCTACTTCAGTATAGCCGAGCGCCCCAGAGCCGCTTTAGAGGCAGAAAGAAACTGGCGCCGCGATGCTGGGCCTCATCTTGCCTCTCTCCTGAAGACAGTCCGGTCTAAGGCCGGTTTCGGGCGATTTCTGCTCTCCGCATTGGAAGTAGATATGTTGGAGGCCGCATGACTCGGTCCAATCGTTGTCCTGAGCATAAGTTCGTGCTGTTGTGATGCCTGGCGGAATTGGTACGACTCTCTCGGAGCGCAATTAAGAATCATGTCGGAGAACTCAAGGACCTAAAAAATCTTCAGTGGTACGGGATACTATAGTCTTTCCCGTTCTGAATGTGCTAGAATTTCCCCGGCCGCCGCAGTGCCCAGTGGGTCCCTACTGGCATACTGACCCAATTTCCTATCCACGCTTGGGTTCTTCACAATCGCCTCAGCGCTTCTAAATTCAAATAACCCGTGGTAAGAGCTTTAAGTGCTGGCAAAATTTCCTCACAACTGTGCAATACTCTACTAAATGTTGACAGCAACGATCTATTTCCCAGTCAAGGAGATACTTCGAAGGTCCAGGGCAGTGGTGTTGAGTTCAATATGCCCCAAGCTGTGTGGTTTGACAAGCCAGCAATAGCTCAACTCTTCATTTCCAGATCATCACCTTGGGGCTTTTCAAGGATACGTCTAGGCAAGTACCATCTACTGCACGCTCCACGGCTGAAGTAAAATGGAGTCGGCAAAAGATGCTAGAGGCTGTAAAGAACGTGCAGGGAGCCTCCTTTGCAACGCCCGGTTCTGCATAGCATTTGCATTAGCATCGGCGCCCTTGTCAATAAATAGCTTGGTAACCCTTCCACTTCTGTCTTGCGAATCCACAGCGAGGGTCTTTAAAAAGTCCCCAGCTAGCGTAGTAGTGCTGTTACACAAGTCAAGCACCAGCTCCACCAACTCTATTGTCTCTTCGCTTTCCTCTGCTATACCCAGAAGCGAAGCAAGCGTAATAGCCAAGCCCTCGCCTTGTAAATCAAAATTAGCACCGTGATTTACCAGTAGCTTGACAACTTGTATATGGTGTCTGGACACAGCAGCCAGCAGAGCATAGTTAATGCTGGTCCTTTGCGTATCATTTCCAGCGCCATTGCCAAGCTGTAGCTGCACCATCTGTATGTGTCTTACACATGAAGCAGCCTGAAGAAGAGGGCCATGGCGTTCAGCCTCTCCATTGGCATTCGTCCCTCACTCACGCACTCGTCTCTGATGCCCTCTCCCACTAGATACTCATATGCATCCTCGCCAAGTCCACGCATAAACCTGTCATCGACGCTCCAGAGTGTGCCCACCACATGGTAGAACTCAGCCAGTTGACATGCGCGTGGGTGAACCCGGAAAAGACTTAAACCCTCTACGATAATTGGGATATTAATCAGCTACCTGCACTTTGGCCGACCTCACCATGTACTATCCAGGTCCAACACTATGATCAACCAATCAGAAGCTTTTTCCACAATTACTCGGCAGGGTCAACCACAATATTACAACCCGCGAATCTCTTCTGCTCCATATGCGACGTGAAACAGCCGCTCAAAATGTAGGGAAAAGGCAAAACAGTACTTCAGTGCAAGGACAGGGAGCAGTGATAATGAAGATAATGAAAGGCTTGAAGCGGGAGAGATCGTCGCGGTGCTCCAATCCTTGCTAAATCGACTTGGAAATATCTTGACTCCAGTGGCTTCAGGCTGGTCACTTTCGAGAAATAGCCTTGGTGAGCCAATTAGGAGGAGAACGTTGACCATTACCCCTGTAGCCTGTTGTTAACCTTATCTTGGTCTGCTGCTTTCCCTCATGCTGTTCTCGCTTCAAATGCGATCGCCTCCTGCATGTCGTTCAGTGTGGCTTCCATATAGGCTAGCTTTCTCTCCAGTCACCCTTGCCGCTGAGACTCCTCTCGAAACAGTTTGTCGCTATCTAGCTGTATTAATTCTACAATTCTTAATTGGAAGAAAAAGTAGTCCTGCGAACGACAAACCTTAAGTACATTGGTTGGGTAGACTGCAACGAAAATACAGGGATACTATACGATGAGGCTTTTCAGAGAAAACCTGCACATATATTGGCGATGCGGAGACCATATCACGGAGGTCAAGGTGAGTCGGTATTTTGTACAAAAATAGACACAATTTCTACACTCGTGCATCCTATTGGGAGGAAAGCGGGTGGCCGACCGAAAGGTAGCTGCCATTGTTTACTTTACTGCCTCTTCCGTTGAGATATAAAGATTGAGAAGATCCCATGAGAATGAGGGAATCGAAATGATTTTAGCTGATGTTTCACTAAAGAGTAGATTTTTCATAGATACTCCATAGCATTTCCCCATGAACCCTCCGTGCTACCTGTCTACACCGAGATCCTCATCAAGTCCAAATTCCTGAAAGATTGTGCGCAAGGTAACCAGGGGTTGAAAATTACCATTCGCTACCAACACATACCACCAATGTTGAAATTCCAAGAAACAACAATATCCCGGACAGAGTTTCATGAGGCTCGTCGCTTTGCTGACTAGTATCACCAGCAAAGCGAGCCCATGGTCGACTTTTGCTGCGTTATTGATATGCTTCCAAGCATAACCCTTGGCATGGTAATTTGGGCCTTCTAGTGACCGATATTTCCGCAGCCACTCTTTCCAATACCGGACATTTTTCTCCTCGAGTTCTGACAGCCCGCGAGGCCCACTTGCGAACTCGAGTAGCTTTTCGACTACGAAGTGCCATAGATGATTGATAGCCCGTCTATCAGCAACATCGAGGCTTGAGCGCATCCCGGACTGCGTTTCTTCCTAGTAACATAATGTTAGGACAATCGCGTAATGATTTAGGAAGGCACATTATGTAACTTGAGGTTCGAGGCTTACTTACGAACGCCAGCAACAGGGCCAATTCAGTGATCAGAGTAGAGTAATCAATATTGAGTAGTGGGATTATTTT